AACAACTCAAGATTGAGGTATTTTCTGACTCAGACTTTGCTGGGGATCCTGGAACTGCAAGATCTACTACTGGATGTCTTGTCAAGATCTCTGGAGGACCTGTATCTTGGAAATCAAGACTGCAGAGAGAGGTGGTTCTGTCAAGCACTGAAGCAGAATATGTGGCTTTGACTGAAACCTGCAGGGAAGTCAACTGGCTTAAGAACCTGCTCTCTGAGCTACAACCATTGCTCAAAGATCCTCCCACCAAGTTCAAGGTTCATGTTGATAACAAGTCAGCTATCTGTCTTGTGGAGAATCATGAAAGATCTGGCAGATCAAGACACACCAACCTGAGAAACCACTACTGCAGAGATCAGTATGAGAATGGTGTGATTGATGTTGAGTACATTGAGACTGCAAAGCAAGAAGCTGATGCTCTCACAAAAGCTGGAAAGACCAACCAGCTGCTGTGACACAGAAGCATGGCATTGCGTGCATACTACACTCATTTGAACATTCCCTTTGTGAACTGGAGACCTGCAGTTTGGTGGCCAAGTGCCTTTTCATTCTGTGATGGTATGAAAATCAAAACTCCACACACATGCCCTGTCCTGGGTATCTCAAAATCAAACATGAGTAGCTCCTCCCTGAGCCTGCTTTTCATTCAACAAAAGAAATAAATCAAGAACCCTTGCAGCTCCCCAAACTGCATCTGGCCAGCAGACTCAAGGAAAACAACATGCAGGGCCAGTGCTGCAGAGATCACCACCAAATCCACCAATCCTGAACTCCAGATCTATCCACCACGAGGATATCTGTAGTTCTTGCCCATGAAGTCCCTGCCATTCTCAAACTTCTGATCAAAAGCCAGCTCAACAGCATGTACAGCAGCCCTCATCTCAGCCTTGTACTGCTCATATCCGGCAGTTGAGGAGTAGTTGAAGTTGATAACAATCTGACCACGACGAGAGCCATCTCCTGCAACCTGAACCTCACGAGCTGCATTAATGCGCACAGAGTTTGGCTGTGGTGCACCATCAGACTTGTTTGAATCCTCAGACACAAGCGACATGTCAGACAAGGATCTCTCAAGCCCAGAGTCCCTGTCCTTGCCCTTGCTCTTTCCCTTGAGTTCCTTTGGAGTCCGTGGAGCAGGTGTGTAGCCAGAGGTAGAGCAGCCAGAGTACTGAATCCCAAAAGCACAGTTGGTGCAGGCATTCTGAAAGCAATCCTCTCCAGCAGCATTCTGGATGGGAACCTTGTGACAAGCTCTGAATGGCCGAGCTCCAGCCATTGGAGGCTGGCACTTGCTGCAGGAACTGGCACCCTGAGCCACAATGGCATTTGATGCCTCAGCCAGAATGCAAGGAAGGTAGCAAGCACTCCCATCCAAGTCGAAGGTAGAGTGACCACGGAAGAGAGGAGTCTGAGTGATCTGAATGGGATTTGGGTTTGTGGCGTCAAAGAATGCCATCCACTTGACACTGGGCTTGTTGCGAGCCAAAGAGAAGTCCAGATTCCGGTTCCAGGCCTCCAGCATCTGCTCACACCAGGCCTGATCACACTGAACAGAGTTGAAGTTCAGACCATAGGCATTATTGACCACGGCCTGAAGCTGTCCATTGCTCATCTGCTGAGCAGCCATGACTGAGCTCAAGTCAGTATTCAACTCACAGTCACAAGCCACTGATCCATACCTTGGCTCTCAAGAGAGAGAAGTTCTGAGAGTGTCTGAAGTGTTGTGAAGGAAGTGGAATAGTGTTTGAATGGTGTGAAGAGTGTGGAATGGGTATGTACAAGAGAGAGAGTTCAAGGAAGAAGAAGAACTCTTTTATGGGCAGAACTTAAGATCAGGTGATTGCCAGCTTAACACACTGAAGGTTCAAGAGATTGCGTGGCAATCCATGTGATGCCTGACCTGCTCATGAGCATTCTGAAGGGTCATTTGCTTTGTGATATGGTCACTGATAAGGTCACAAGGTCACATAAATGGCTCAGACACGTATGACAGCAATCAGACAGCTCAAGAAAGAACTGTCTGTATGCTGAGGGGGAGTGTTGTGCCTGGGGATCACGTGAGTGCCAAGAAGGCCACATCTTCTGAATTCACAGTCCTTGTAGATACCTGCTCCCGTAATCAATCATCTATGAAGGCCTAATAACCGCTGCACAACAGAACACTCCCGGATCGGGGAGTACTTCCTTCCGGACGACGTGCAAGACGTAGCCTGGCTGAGAAGGTTGGATTCTGTTGAAGTCACGCTCTCGCCTATATGTTGAGTTACAAACCAAGCTTCAATAAACTTGGCGCATTTTTGCTCACGCAAAATGCAGGTCATCCACTGGACCACTGCCAGCGAGGCTACAGCCGGACCTTGAGCAGATCCCTAAGACCGAAACGTTCGCAGCGAAGCACATGTCTGGTCGTTCTCATCAGCTGTTAGGCGGTGTTCGAAGCATGACTACCGAGCAGCCGTCCGATCCGCCCAGCGCCACCTACGACGCGGTGCACTACAAACGGATATCGGATCTAATAAACGGTAGCGAAGCAGGACGTTTGCCTTATATATTAGCCTTTCCTTTCCAAGCCTCCCTAGACCTTGATCAAATTCGTTGCGATCGGCCTTCCTATAGTCGTCCTCTATCCCTGTCTCATTATGTTCGCCGGTATTATTGGTTTCCTCGGCCTTACCACGTGCTTAGCAGCCGCGCAGGGTAATACCTACTACGGCTACGCCCTCAACGGTGTTTTTGCCGGGGTGCCGTTAATATATAGCGACGGTACGCCTAAAGGCTTTTACGACCCGTGTAGTCGCTAATAACAAAGCAGGCAATGCATACCTATCTTACGGAGCTCTATCACCAGGTTCCACCTTAGTAAGTAGTCGGCGCAAGGCGTGAAGGACTGCGACTATATCGCTTACGATGATACTAGGCTTCAAATGTTACTTGTAAGCAGACCTCTTTCCGCAGAGTTCTCCTCATCTCGTTTACACAAGCACATGGCTTATATTTCGTTCTTGAAATACTTCCGTGATCTTGAACACCGACGAGAACGACTCTGTATCGGCATATCTTACGGATCAGTCCGACAGTGAGCGATATCTGGTTATCAACAACGACCCCTCAGCGTTCGCGCCTGTAGAGTTTCAGATTACGCCAGACCCGACCCTCACGAGCACTGGATTCGGCCTCTACGGACCACAGCTATTCTGGTCCCCGCCCTCGGGCGGACCTGAAGGCAATTTTTTTGCAGATCCTGTCGATGACAATGTATGGGAGGTGAAGTGGAACGTCGACAACACGGCCGGCGACAGTACTGCCGTAGAGATCGTCCTCAGGTCTGTTCCAGCAAATTAGTCGTAATGGGTAACAGGGCAGGAGGGACGAAAGGCGTCAAAACGGGGGTCTAGGAAACACGGTCGAGGGGTCGAATTGGGGAACGTGAGGTTCGAGCAGGATGGCAATACACAACTTATAGAGGCGCGTTTCGATTGCAACCTTCTATAACGCCCTTTCCCGCGTCATGAGACGCACGCGGCGGTGTCGTTTTAGAAATCGATAAATTACTAAGGGTATTATGCTACCGATTAGGTTCAGCCAGCCACGAGTATACATAGAGCAGCCGCAAGACAATAGGCCCTACCCGCTCTGCATATCATATTCCCTCCAGCAGCCAAAGATTGCACCGATGCCTGGAACTTCGGAAAGTTTTAAATCCAGTCCAACCCCTGTCGGCCTTGAGCTGCGGAATGTGAGCCATCGGACCACGAAGAACGTGGAAGGATACGACCGGAAAGCTGTTAGGGAGATAACTTCGAACATTGCATGGCGTCTGATGGAAGGGTCCTTCTCATGCCTTGAACATTAAGCCCAATCGACCTGCGACGCAAAGCTGAAGACCAGTCACAGCTGTGATGACGCAGTTCCCATGCGGTGTCCAGGACTTGAAAAGCAACAAAAGCAATTGTGTGCGAGGACATTCTGACTCTTTGTTCGATCAGACGAAACCGGTGAAGACTACATGTTTTTGCATAAACGCAAGAAGCGGACCGTGAGATTATAACAGACCTTGCCGACACATCATCATACTCTCCACTTGCCAATTGGTCTCTGAATGCTGAACGATTGGCAAGTGGTATGCGGTGCTGTGATTCCTGAGGCGGCCTCTATTCCGATGCTGGTTTCAATGGGCGGCTTCCGATATCCGATCGGTGAGCTGAAGCATAGAGAGCTTCTCCAGCCGCTGCAAATATTGACCGTCTTGAGCCTAGACCAACCTTTCATGAGGACAAGCACGAGATCCCGAGCTAGTGTATCGCCAAGTTGATATCTCAGCTATCACGACAACTTAGTTAACGCAATTGACTCCACTAGCTCGCGGAATGATCTATGAGGCTCAATACCTATAACCTATTCAAGCTAGACTTTGTGTCGTCATGAGGGCCCAATGCCAGAAGCAGCAGGTATAAGAAACTCACGTCCGAGCTTCTACTTGCTCCGTTGAGTCAAGATCTGCAAATCTCAGCTCCCGTAACTAACTTTTGCCCAGGACAAGCTAGCAGGCTGCGCATCAGGCCTCAAATATGTGCGCCGTACCAGCAAAGACGTTGTGGTCTATGGGGCTGCGATCTGGTTGAAACTTCAACTTTGCAACCTCAGGGCAATGGATATATCAGTTGCTGGACAGACGCTGCGGGCAATGGCAATCTCGTTGTCAAGCTTGGGATGAAGAAACAAGACCTGCTCTTCGTGGCCTGCGAGGGTCCGACGGGGCGGAAGGATCGCAGGACATCAGCATCTGCTAACCGCCACGTGCAACAGCACCGTACTATTCGAGGCAAAGGTCATCGTCGAGTACGTCTTCCCCATGCGAAGGCCGAACCCTCCAGATTCGTCACAAAGGCCGAAGAAGACGAAGATGCTGCTTGGAATCTCAATCAAGTCCCATCAAGAACTTCTCCGGAGCCCAACGCCTGCAGCATCCATACGACGACGTTGCCCAACCAACCTGCCGGTTTCGATCCCTTCGATTCGCCGTCAAGTTGCGATGCCAGCAGTTACGCTACCCAAGAGTTGCTGGCTTGGTACTCCGCACGAGCTGGTCCCCTTGGTCCACATAATGAAACTATGGAAAACGTGTTCTCCTCGGTATGGGACGCCTTTTGGCAAATGGCCATGGAGAACGGAGCGTTTTATCACCACCTGGCCGCCGTGATCAACGCACCCTGGAAATTGGAAGAGCCAGGAAGCGGCTGGACAGGAGATCAAGACAAGTTCATGTATCACAAAACCCTGGCATTGCAACACCTTCGACGAAGTCTCGACAGCGACCGGCGATATGTCGAGACGTCGGCCATGATCCTCTCGGTGTGCTTCCAATTACATTTCGCCATGCGTGAGGGCAATCGAGAGGAGACCACGGTCCACGCGGCAGCCCTCAAGAGCTTCGCCACGTCATCGGCCCTGTCTAACATGCAGCCACCCCATTGGATTACCTTCGTGCTTCTCAGCTTGAAGCACTCGCAGTGGAGTCTGGAGCCTCCCCCTGCCAACTACTGCTTACATCCTTACTGCACGTTCGAGCATCTTTATGTCGAAGCCCCCGAATTATGCAGCCAAGCGCGGGACAAGGCCTCCTCAGCCCTATCAAGGCTGCCGCTGCCCCAACTTCCCGAGCTCGATGCCGCGACGGTGTACAGCATCTTCTTCCGCATGTTCCTGCATTGCGCGGTCTCTTAGGGGTCGCACGGAGTTGGTCCCACGTTGGGTCTCTTCTACGACATCTCCTACGATCTCTGCACCTACTCAGCGACAGTCCGCAAGCTACTATTCGACGGACACGGCAAAGAAGAGCGTTGTCTCGAAGCCCTCTACTGTGTGCTCCTCGCCGCCCAGCTATCCACGTGGTCCCTTCCCGTCGAGTTCACAGGTTCGAAAGGCCACACCACCACCAACACAACCGTTCGCCTCCTCGCCGAGATCTGCGCCTCCCTCAAACGCCAACAGATCACCGTCGCCTACTGGCGCGAACACACCAACCTCGAATCTCTCGTCTGGGTGCTATTCCTCGCCTGTGGGCACTGGCGGTTGGCTGAGCAAGCCGAGACCTATAAGCCTCAGGGGTATATGTTTTGTCTCTTTCGTCGTGTCACGAGACAGCTTGGAGTTAAGAGCGGTGCGGATTTGGAACATGTTCTGCAGAACTTTCCATGGACTGAGACGTGGTGTTGTCGGCAGGTTGGATGAGCTCCGACAGACGTTGGGTTTGGGTGCCAGTTGGAACGTGGCGATGAGGCCTTAGACTGGCAACGCCGGATAGAGCATTGATGCGAGAACCCAAATCGCCATCGATGTCTGCATCCCCATGCTGGCGTCTGAGCCTACAGTGCGTGCCTGTCCGCACAGTGATTCACTGCTTGTAGATCTACTGCTGTGGCGCGTACACTTGTCCGTGACAGCACACCCTTGACGAGATGGCTGAGAACGTGTCCAGCTCGTAAGTTTACTCATAGTTGCAAGTCCACTATCTCGAAAAGCTAGCTAACTCCTACATAGACCAAAAGGAAACCCGCACCCTGCGGCAAAAGCAAATCATCAAGGCCGTTCGGCTCTCTTTGAGAGGTCGCGATAGAATAGCACACTACACATAGAACCTCCTTCATCCTACACGACCCTCCTCGCCGTCGGCGTAACAACACATGTCGAATAAAACGGCCTCGTGGTCGAAAAAATCGGCTGCTTCGCCTCCGCCTTCCTCTCCTTGCCCAAAAACTCCGCCTTCGCAACCTCATATGCATTAATCTCCACACCCACTCCAACATCAACCTCCACCCCCGCCTTATCCTTCTTTTTCCCGCACTCCTTACTCGTCGCGGCTTGAATGTTAAATGACGGCGCTGCGAGCGAGAAACCGATCTCGGCGTCAAGATTTAAAACGCTGCCTTCGAGGACGAGTCTGACTTCGCCGGCGAAGGTCGCGGAGGCGGAGCTGGAGATTTCGATATCGGGTTCAATGGGTGTGAGCTTGGGCGTCCAGTAGGCCATTTGGTCTTGGCTGGAGTCGTCGAAGGAGTGGTAGTAGATTGCGTTGTTTGGGATTGAGAGTTGAAGGCCGGTGGTGATGGAGGCTTTGGACTCGGTCTGCATGCAATCGTTAGTGATATTCATGTAATGCTGCTGTGAGACTTTCACTTACCTTGCCGATGGATCCTGTCATCTCATACTTCAACTGCGGTCCCAGCGTCATGACGTGCGGGATCTTGATACTGTAAGGCAGCGCGATGTCGAAGAGCTCTTTCTCGAACTTGTACGGTGCTTCACCAGCTGCCAGTTCTGCGGTGATTTCCACAGTGGCACCGATGCCTGTTGCCCCGAACCTGACGTATCCATCAAGACCAGGATGGATAGTGAGGACTTTCGGTGAGATGTCGATGTCGAAATCTAGAGCTCCTTCGATCTTGCAGTCGCTGCACGTCAGGGTGAGGCTTCCGTACTCGAGGCTGCTGCTTGTGAATGAGTGGCTGATTGGGATGCTTTTGTCGAAGTCGAGACTGACTCGCTTGTCGATGCTGTTGCGAGCTAGGAGACGACGTTGGTGTTCAGGGGGTAGGATGCCGGTGTTGGAGACTCTGAGATGCCAGTTGCTGAAGGCTTGCTCCCATGTTTGTGGCTCGGCCTGGAGGGTGACGATGTTCGTTGCGTCGTCGAATGCTGCATTTGTGACTAGCCAGGGTTGACGGACGCCATCGTCGCCATCGGCGGCGTTGCATTCCGCTGATTCTGTGACGAAGACGATATGGTTCTCAGCGGCGTCATTGACCCAGTGCCAGGCTTGTGCGATCTCGTCGAACTGTACTTCTTCCGTGAAGGTGAGATCGATACTGTTACCGTTACATTTCGCAGTATTGAGAACGTTGCTGAAACGCTCCAGAGAGAGAATTTTGATTCCGGTGCCGTCGGCGTAGGCGGTCAGGTTTGCGAGAGGGTTGCCATCTGCTTAGTGTCACGAGAGCGACATGAGGACGTACAACACTCACTCGTTCCCCAGTAGAAAGACTCGCTATCTCTAAGTCCAAAGGGTCTTCCAGTGTTCAACATGTTGCTCCAGTTGGGCCACCTGGGATGATGAGCTGCAAGATGGCTACCGACTGTTCGTACTTCAAATTCCTCGACGATAGATGGCGATATTGGTCCGTAGATGATCGCTACCTCGCGAGCATTCAGACTGTTTGCGAAGAATGTTGGCGTTGCTGATACTGGTAGGATGCTAGCCATAGCAAGCACGGCAGCCATTATCGCTCCCATGTCGAACCCGGGCATGTCTGCGATGGCTTTGGAGAAGCAACGACTGATCAAGTCGATTTGAAGTAAATTGGCAAATGACGGCAGGATCTGAACGGAGTTATATTTTTTGTGTCTGTCGATGGACATCTTATACCACGCTCCGTCGAGGCACGGTTTGGTAGAGTCTCCCATTTCGATCGCTGTGCAGTTGCACAATGTTTCACAGACCACAGCATCGAGTAGGCTGAGGGTGGACTGCGGTGGGCTTGGAGAGTTGAGTGCATGTTGTTGGTGTTACAGTAGCCTGATCTTAAGTTGCACCGTCGGGATGAATTTTCTTCCTGAGGCCAGAATGGCGAAGGGTATGCACTTTCATGGTGCTTGCGATGAGCAGTCAGGACATAGTCGGGAGCGCCTTGGAATTTGCTTGTTGTCAATCACTGAGGAAGCCACGCTCACATTGTGTCTTCAGACCGAATTGGAGATAAGCGTTGCTGAGCATTTTTGGACGTAAAAAGACCAAAGATCAGGACTGACTAACAGAGCCCTTGACGAACCATGCTGCCCATGCCTTCATTTCGCAATTTGACACATCTCATACCCATGCTACAAGCCATGAGCGCTTGCAAAAGCGAGGCAAGTTACGGTAGCACAAGACATCCATTTTAGCATCTGCGGCCTCTTCACAGCTTCAGCTCATGTGCTTCGCCGCCGCCACGAGGTTCGAGAAGGCAGAATGTCTCAGCGAGCATGATGAGGAATGCACTCAGTAACTTCCAGATTGAGAGTAGTTCTGAAATTTCATGTAAGGAGTGTTGCTCAAGCAAGACGGAGCATTTTGCGAAGGAGTGAAGTCTGGAATCTGATGCCTGAGGCATTAGCGTGCGCACGGACGGGCGCCAAGTGAATGTCTGCTTCGGGCCAGCCAATGAGACGCGCCTTCACAAATCTCCGCTCCATCCTTCAGCGGCTCGAAGTTCAGCTCTTCTACGCGAACATCAAATCTCGACGCCTTTTCTGCGGACGACGGGCCCGTCGCCCGTTCTCACTCTTAATACTCTTCTCATGGGACATTCTCACCTCGTTACTAATAACTTAGTCTCATATTTCTCCTCGCAGTTTCTCACAAAAGGTAACCCGAGGACTTCAGGAAAATCACTAGTCGAGCTCGTTTGGAGAGCCATTCGCGAGTAACACGAGTCACATTACGACTGAGCATTTCTCACATCGTCTCCACATGCCCACTGACAGCTTGTATTGAGAGCTTGGAGCAGCAGGGTCTGAGGCTGAACTGATCCTACAATAGAGCTTTTAGGGCATTGACTGAGGGCTAGTGTCTTCATATGCTTATTCCGGGCCCTGTTAAAGATGGCCAGAAGTTAACGATCAGCATTGGATGGTAACATACGCTACATTGCTCTCCTCACCATGGCCTTCCAGCCAGTGTTTGATCCTTTGCCATCCAAGCCCACATCGCAAAGCCAGCGAGACTTGACTGGGGTTCTACTTGTGGTATGTGTTTACTTCAGACTCAACGCGTGGCCAGAGCAGACTGACCGTCTTCATAGATCCTTCGAGACAACTTCACAATCTCAACATGGCTCATGCTCGGGGCATTGATCCAAGGAATCCTCAGCTTTTTACCATACCCCAACATTGCTCTCGTGGCACCCGTCGCCATGGTTTTGCTGTTCCAAATCACTCGCACTGCGCTGCAGTCTTTCGGCATCCTCAAGAACCCTCGAATGGACGGAGTCATTCCTGGACGGACCGCCGTCGTGTATCCCAATGAGAAAGACGGACAACAGAACAGTCCTGGCAACAAGCAAGTCTGCGCAATTATTCTCAGCATACGCAGCAACCATCCTCTGGGCATGCTCGCCAAAGGCTTCAAAGAGTCAGGCGATTACTTCGACCAGATGCTCGCTGAGCTGGACAAGGATGCCACGAAATACGGTTACCTGGGCGCTTCTGGCTGGATCTCCGCCGCAGACAGAGGCTATGCATCTGAGAAAATGGGAATGCTCTACTTCGAGTCGGCTGAAAAAGTACACGAATACGCCCACGGACCTCTGCATACTAAGGCTATGCAGTGGTGGATACAGGCTCACAAAAGCATGCCGCATATTGGCTTAATGCACGAAATCCTTGAAGCGCCGAAGGGTAGCTGGGAAGGGATATACATGAACCATCATCCTACCGGTCTTGGAGCAACGTCAAAAGAAGTGGAAATCAATGGGAACAAGGTCTGGATGAACCCACTCGTGAGGGCTAAGGGCCCGCTCCTCTGGAGTAAAGGACGTATGGGGAAAGAATCTGGGGCGAAGGACTGGCAAGAATTCCATGATGCTGTTGTCCAAGAAGAAGGCGAGGCATTCTTCAAGGTTTGAAAGCTGTGTCACTTGCAAAATGGGACGATCTTCTACATTGTGCGCAAGGTACAACTCTTATGGATTTGATCATTCGATACACGATGTTCATGCAACATTGATTTCCCTTCATCATGACTTGAAGTGGCTAATTGACGATAGCTCCTCAGGCGCAACCCACCGAGACGGACCTCCACGTTTCTACCCCAACATCAGGCAAAACTCGACCCCAACATCCACCAATCCACTCGCGTCCACGTGATGCCAATGTGCAATGATGGCTGCCAAGCCCGTATACAAGGTCGATCCTCCACATGCCGAGACTATGGGGAAAATATATGACGTGCATCCCAAGTGCTCATGGCACATGTCGTTCGTCGGAGAAATGCTGATCCTGGCCACGGCCGATCCTGTTAATAGAGACCGGTCCGCCAACATGGAGAAGTTGGACGACCTACATCCTCACCATGCGGTCCTTGACGACCACACTACTCGCCGCATTAGGCGCTGTTGGAGCAGTAACAGCAAGCCCTTTGCACAAGAATGCCAGAGACAACACTGCCAGACAGACAGCTCAGTATGAAGGATACATGTTCGCCTACTTCACTGGCAATTCTGTCGAAGGAGAAAAGATCTACTTCGCTGCCAGCAATGGGAACAATGCCCTCGACTGGCGAGAGCTCAATGGTGGCCAACCAGTACTCGCATCGACGAAAGGAACGACCGGTCTCCGTGATCCGTTCATCATGAGATCCGTCGACGGCAGTACCTTCTACCTGGTCGCGACTGATCTCTCAATTGGCTCTGGTACCTCCTGGGATGCTTCTGTGCGGACAGGCAGTCGATACTTGGAGATTTGGGAGTCGAACGATCTGGTGACTTGGTCTGAACAACGGCATGTTCTTGTCTCGCCACCGACTGCTGGAAATACATGGGCGCCTGAAGCACACTGGGACGAGAGCATTGGAGCATACGCTGTCTACTGGGCATCCTCACTCTACGCCGAGGACGATCCAAATCATACTGGCGCTTCTTACCACAGAATGCTCTATGCAACGACGCAAGATTTCATCACATTTAGCGAACCTCAAATATGGCAGGACGCAGGCACTTCTCGCATTGACTCTGATGTATTGCAAGTGGACAATACCTACTATCGATTCACCAAAGATGAGGGAGCTGTCTCTGGATGCACGGACATCATTCAGGAGAGCTCACCAGATCTGCTCGCCCAGCTGAATGGATGGCAATCTATCGCTACTTGCATTGGTCGAGATGCGGGCACCAGCGCCATTGAAGGCCCGACTGCTTTCAGATCAAATCCAGGAGATGTGAATGGCGACAAGTTCTACCTGTTTGTCGATGAATATGGCGGACGAGGGTACATACCACTGGAAACCGCTGATATCTCAAGGCCTACTTGGCGTGTGTCCGCAAGCTACTCTCTCCCAACCAGCCCACGACACGGCACGGTTCTGCCAATCACTGCTGCAGAGCTTCAGAGACTTACGAGCAGCCAGCTCAAGAAGCGAGAAAGTGCGTTGATCCCAGGCCTCTACGCAGATCCCAACATTGCAATCTTCGGGAACGAATACTACATCTATCCAACGACAGACGGATACCCAGGGTGGGGCGGCAACCAATTCTACGTTTGGAAGTCGTCTAACCTCGTCGACTGGACACGCTCAGCAGTGCCCATCCTGACTCTCAACGGCACTGACGGCAACGTTCCATGGGCAACAGGCAATGCATGGGCACCTACAATCGCCGAGCGAGACGGGAAGTACTATTTCTACTTCAGTGGTCAAAACCCAACGTACGACCGAAAAACGATTGGCGTTGCAGTGGCAGACTCTCCTGAAGGACCATTCACGGCACAGCCTGAAGCTTTTATCCTCAACAACGAGGAAGTGACTTCAGGCCAAGCTATCGATCCTGACGTCTTCGTTGACCCAAAGACCGGAAAGTACTTCATCTACTGGGGCAACGGGAGTCCCGTTATGGCAGAGCTAGCAGACGACATGGTGTCGTTGAAGCCAGGCACCATCCAAGCGATCTCAGGACTGACAGACTTCCGTGAAGCCAGCTTTGTTGTCTACCGCGAGCCATACTACCACTTTACATACTCGATTGACGATACTGGCAGTGAGAACTATCGTGTCGGATATGCAACGTCGGATAGTGCGACTGGTCCATGGACCTACAGAGGCGTGATTCTGCAAAAGGATACCAGCCAAGGCATCCTAGCGACTGGTCACAATTCCATCGTCAACGTTCCCGGAACAGATGACTGGTACATCGCGTATCATCGCTTCGCAATCCCAGATGGAGATGGAACGCATAGAGAGACGACGATTGACCGGTTGACATTTGATCCTGACACAGGATTAATCAATACAGTGAAACCGACCCTTAATGGGCCCGGTTCACAGACAATATGCTAGTTTTACAAGTCGTATATAGACGTTTGAACGAATAGCGATTCTCGCAATAATTAAGGCCCCCAATCCTCTCGCAACCATTAGTAATAACAAATTCCCTATGAGAGATCGGTAAATCCATACCCAAAGATCGGGAAATTGCATCACAAGGCTCGGCACGATCGCTTTTCCACAAAACGACGGATTCCCTCAGCCAGCCACATTCCATCTCGTATTTCAAACTCACCTCCTTCCATCCCTCACAACCAAACAACAAAAAGAAGAAGAAAATGCCAAAACCCACCCTCGAATTCACCCCAACAACCTCCTTCCCCTCCTCTTCAACCCCAGACGTCCAAAAACAAACCCTCTCCTCAGATCCCGAAACCGGCGACAACACCGTCCTGCTCACACACACGCCGGGAAGTGAATGGGGCGATCCGGTCTGCACGCATGAGTATTGGGAGGAAGTGTACATTATCTCTGGCAGGTTGTTCGATAAGACATTGAAGCAATGGTTTGGCGAGGGGGATTATTGTTGCAGGCCCCCGGGGATGGTGCATGGGCCTTTTAAGGCGGATGGGGAGGTGGGATGTCGGGAGATTTGTTGGTTGAGGTTTCCGAGGGTTGATGAGAGGGTTGTTGGGAGGTGATGAGAGTAGGGCTTTTGAATGAAAGTGAGAGTGGGAGCAATGATATCGGGGAAGATCTTTCTCATGTCTCTTCTCTCTATCTATTGGTTCAAGGAGTGTACAAAGTGGTACGTCGAGCTCCTGCGTTTCTCATGCCCATCGTCCGTGCCACATTATCTTGGTGTCCAGCCAGTAGGTCATTCAGGTATCTTTTCATTCTAGCCTCATCCGTCACACATCCATCCTACAGTCTATGTCAGCTGTTGTATCATACAGGACGGTTGTATGGTGAACACATACCAGACAAGTTCCCAGCACAAGTCAGTCAACCTCCATCTAGAGCGTTGGCTCAGGGAAGTGAGGGAAAGAGAAAGATGGCACCTCAGTTGGAATGCTGAAGCTTGGGATGCTGAAGGTCGGCTTTGGGGCGTGTGGGAAGGACTTGTGCTCCTCCGCACGCTCCTCGTTCCAGTGGGTTGGCTTTGGGTGAGGTGGGAAGGAGTGTGGGAAGGAGTGGTGGAAAGAGTGGTGCTCCTCGGCGCGCTCCTCGAAGGCTGGGAAAGATGGCTTTGGCAGCGATGGGAACGATGGCGTGGGGAACGATGGGAACGATGGGACCGGGAAGGAAGGCACCGGGAATGATGGGACCGGGAACGATGGCAGAGTTGGCTTGGGGAAGTCGGGGATCGTGAAGGTCTCGGTGAAGAGTGGGTTGCTGATGGTGATGGTCTCCTTTGGCTCGGCCTCTGGGATTGGGCTGGCCACGACGGCGGCGGCCAGGAGAGGGATGATGGCGGTGACCTTCATTTTGGATTGATGTGAGGAGGAGTTGAGGCGAAGATACTTGAGATGAGCTTGCTGGATGATCCAAGGAAACCACCTAGAACAACAGGAGAAAGAGGCCTTACTTATAGCCCTCTCTTGAGCGATCAATCGTGTCACCGACTGTTCGATTGTCGTGCTTCAACGCTCAATTGACATTGGCTCCGCCAAACCATCCGGGATGTCGAGGATCTGGATTCCTGCGGCAGTTCCAACAACGTCTCAAACCGCTTTGCGAAACGCCATATCTGTCATAACGAAGATCAGTGTGATGGTTCTTCGTTCGCAGGACTGCGATAGTGCTCCAGCCAGTGGGAGCTCGTCAATCGACCATCACATGGAGAAGCAACTGTGATCGACGAACGCTGACCGCGTAGACTTCATGTCGTGCCTGGCTTGTCGAACTCTCCGTAAGGCCAGCGTAAGGCCGTGTAAACTCTTATAGCTGCAACCTCATCGCCTCTACCGCATCGGGTAAAATGTGTGAGCGCTAGGAGCGGAACCCACCGGTGAGCCTCGGCGGAAGATCTTCGAACTGCTTGTTGGACCCTGACTTTGGTCAATTCAGCGCCAGCATCTGACGAGAGCGACAACATTTCCTGGTGCGTTCGCAGCTGAAACTAGCCCAATTCATCCCTGGTATCGTGTTGGAACGGCCGCGGTTGAGAAGGACGAACAAAAGTCAAGGCCAAGCTTTCACCAAGCTTCGAGGCGTTGCGTTTGAACTTGCCTCTCAACGTTTAGAGGACCTAACTCCGTTTTGTCAAGCAGCAGGATCATCGACGTGGGATGCGTGGGAGGATGCAGTTCGGAGCCCGAGTGGTCGGGGAATTGGTGTTGTTGTTGAGGCGATTGAGGACAGCTGTTGCTTTTGAGAAAGGTATTCGCCATTCCTGGTTGATCTCGCGATTGCATGTGATGACGCGTCGACCTTGGACACAGGCTGGACTTCTTCCTCTCATGCTCGCCCGTGGACGGTTTCCGTGGCAGTCTGTACCATCTCTTCAATCCTACTGTATTATTGACCGTGTCTTTATGACCTTGCTTTGACAAGAGAAGCTATCAACTCTCAGTCAGCCTTGTTTGATCTTTCGATTCGAGGGTATCCTCCGCTCAAGATGTGCCATTGGGGCGATTGAAATCGCATGGCGTTGTTGTACTTCTCAGGCTTCCCTCAACAAGTATTACTGAATGCGGTTGAGTAGTCAACGATGGTTGACGAGGTCCATGGATGTCCTGATCTGCTGATGTGGAAAAGACGCCGACTACATCTGTTGTCAAGGTGGCAGCCATATCCCGTGGCTTGCAGGCAAAGCAACGGGTGAGCATGAGCGGTTGTTCGAAGTGCGGAGAGCGAGTCTCGAAAATATACCACCGGCATGCACAGCTCGCCTTCGATGTGGAGCCGACAGAATGCCACCTCACTGCCACAACGCGTACGTGTAGTATTCCATGCGGCCGAATACGATGTTGCTGCACACTTCATACCGTCCTAGGCTTGGACAGGTATATATAGAGTCGCTGGTGGCAGCCGGACACATGTTAGTCTCAGACAGCGCGGCCCCGAGAACTGTCTCTTCGAGCTTTTCAAATGCATTATCTTCGTTCGTCCTTCGTGTCGGCAGTCCTGCTGACATGTCACCTGGTAACCGGTGCTCCAACAGCTGCAATTCCAACAGAGCTTCGCATTCTTCCGTTGGGTGACTCCATCACGTGGGGATATGCGAGTCCTGACGGCAATGGCTATCGATTGAAGCTGCTGGACGACCTCACAGCCGACGGTGACAAGATCGTCTTTGCGGGAACGGTGCAAGGTGGCAACATGACGGACAATTGGAACGCAGGATATCCTGCGAAGACCATCCAGTATATTGGAAGCCAAGCACCTTCTTCGCTGGCGCAGAACCCAAATATCGTGCTCTTGATGGCCGGTATGTCCATGTCCTTGATTTATGAATGGCGACTGTAACCAAGTGAATAGGCACGAACGATATGAACTCGAACCCTTACATCTCCACCGAGGGAGATGATCCAGCGGCTGCGGCAGGTCGTTTGAATACATTAGTTGGCCAGATCTTCGACGCAGTTCCAAACACCGTAGTTCTGCTGGGCAAGATTCCGAACATCGCGGACGACGACCAGGAAGTTAGGACTAAACAGTTCAATGATCTCGTGCCGCAGATTGTGTATGATCGAGCAAGTTCTGGACAGCATATTCAGCTGGCCGACATGTCTGTGATTCAAGCAGTGAGTATTGTCCCCATGCCAAATGAGCCAGCAAAGGATATTGATGCTGATTGTGTCCAGAATCAAACCATAGATGGCATCCACCCGGACGAAGCCCACTATCAGCTGATGGGAGACATCTGGTATCAGGGAATCAAAGGTCTACCGTCGGCTTGGATCCAGAAGCCTGTTGGGCCAGACCCAGTTCGTTCGTAGTCTCAAGATTGCTGCAAAGCATTGTTCAGTGCAGTCTTTCGATGCCAGGCATGTTCCATGGTCGCGCCAACTGATGTTGGGCATCGCGCATTTCGTGCTCGGCCGTTGAGTAATGCTTTTCAGACTTTGATGCAGATCCCACGAATGGACGCCAGTCAGGCTCGCAGATGGTCCCCGGTTTCGGCAATACTCCAGTCTGAAAGTACTTGCGAATGTGCTTAGCCGTGCAACTTGATGGGTTTGAGTTGGAACAATGCTATACCTGTCAGCCTCGGGACATACTCTCGATTGTGAGAATTGACTTACCCCCTCTGAATTCTGCTGCAGCACTGTCGAGCCGGGGAACAAACTTGACACTCTTTGTGCGTTTCTCAATGGCGTCACAGTGTCATGTGCATTACCTATGATCATCAGTGGGTGAGAAGTGATGCCAGAGATTCGTCCTGAAGAGAATCACAGGTCAGACATTGGAATCCCGAGCAATCAACAGTAGAGTAGCATACCTTTATATGTCCAGGCTGGCCGTGAATGAATGCCGATGCAAGACATTCTATGACGAGCCCAGCTGGCACTGAACCACTTGCTTTGGGCTTTGAGCACTTCAAAGTACTGCCGAAACTTGTCCTTCGTAAACCGGCCATGTCGACGTGGAGCACTGTCTAAACACTCTATGACCGGTGTTGAGGTGATGAGACCAAACGACTCTTCGCGCATGCATCCATCTGAAAGGCTGTGACAGTGCGCCAAAGAAGCAGCAGCATCCAGCGCATTCTGTCTACTTGCAGCAACTGCAGACACATTTCCTTTGGCAAGCTCAGCGAACTGTTGAAATGTATTCTCGGCTATGGCATAAGGGAATGCCATGGAACCAATGATTCTCAGGTAGAAGTCATCAAAGTTGATCGCGATTGGAGATCCGCTGGGTCCTACGACTGGAACGGGGTTGGCCTTGAGCTCTGACAGCAGCTCGAATATTTTGTCTTCGATGTCTTGTGCCGACTTGCCGGTGTAGAGCGGGCATCCCTTGGGACCAGCCTGAAAACAGTACTCGCAGAGTTTCGCCATTGCTTTATCGGAGTCGTGAAGATTCTGAAGCCATGAGCCATGATAGTAATCGTCTGGGTCAACGACTCCGTCAATGAGCACACGATGAATACGATCTGGATGCATCGCAGCAAAAGTCTGGCCTAGAATAGTGCCGTAGCTGAAGCCCCAGTACTGAAGTTTCTCGCCGCCCCGATGCCATGTGGTTCGATGTCTGACTGACGTGGCCTCATCGAAAGTAAGAGATTCGTGAGTTTGTCGCTCAATCAGGCGTTCCACCTCGCCTTGGCGCCATTCGCCGTGCCGTTCAATGATCTCAGTCATGTCTTCGACAACCTGAGCGGTGTTGACGTAGGGAACGATAACATCGTCGCCTCGCTCGGCCGTGCAGCTCTTTCCGAGAGCCTCAGTCCTTGCCCATTCCAGGTTGAAGGTTGTGTTTGACTCGTAGAGCTCTCCATAACCTGGTCGATCAAGGAGCCACACCTGCTGTGAGAACGCATCCGGGAAGCAATGCAAGTTTGGTGTCGTTTCCTTGACACCGCGAGGATCGAAAGAGATGATGTCGAAGTACTTTCGATGCTCACTCCTTTCGTCACTTGCGGCATCAACAATGGTCTGAATTGCTTTCCCTCGTTGCAGAAGCTGCTCAACACCTGATTCGCCAGGACCGCCTACACATTGGTCAGCCGTCAGTCCTCCAATTTGCTGTGGTGTATCAACCTGGGTTCATCAGAATAGCTCCTCCGTATTCCTCGTCCGTCACGGAGACTTGAGCAGGGAGCTTGATGACAGCAACCGCAGCCCGATGTTCTTCGCGGTCTTTCCCTGTCGAGTTCCAATTGAGAGGAACATCAAGTCGAGTGCATAGGAATCCACCGTAGCAATCATGATAAGATAGCTGCCTGCTTGGCTGAATCTAGAAACTGTTAGCCACCATAAAGCTCTCAGGTTGAGTTCCATACTATTTGCCATTCGAACTTGGTCTGCTCCTGAACAAGGGGCATTTGTTTCTCCAATAGATATCCGGCATTGGCGCCATAAATGATAGACAGAAGCCGGATACACGGCCACAGTTTCAGAGGCATCTTTTCGTGACTTTTTTGCTGGGCTCAGCCTTCGATTCGAGCAATCACAGACAAGAACTGGTAGGCGAATGTTTTGAGGCTGAGCCACCAGTCATGGCCGTCTCGCATGCAAATTCAATAGCAATAGCAAGGACCAAATGTGGTTCGATTCGACGAACGCGAAGACGCGAAATCTCGGACTCGCATCGAACGTGACGTCACTTCTTGGAACTTCACGATACATATCGCCTCCAACAACAGACGACGACTTTGGTATTCGAGCTGCTCGAATATTCTGCTCTTCAGATGGCGACCATTCCAACCGTCTGAAGTCGCGAAATGGGAGAAAAAATGAGGCCGACACGCTCGCTCGTACTCGTACACTAGTAAACAAATTCACTCACCTCAAACATCCACTATACCCTTCCAAGAACCCTCCAGACAGGAACCACATTTCTCTCGGAACAGCATTGCGCTTGAAACAGTATAAACACTCCCTCTGGATCCAGCCACACCATTGGAGCTAGAGTACATGTAGTAACGAAGCGAAGTCACGACCAAATCGCGGAACTAACAGGCACGAAAAACCGTTCAGCGCGCAAGGACGTTCCGCACGCGAATGCGATTACGCTTGGCTTCGCTTTCCCCTTTCAGGCCCTTTCGAGCTTCAATCGGCGACTCATCGTCCAATAACTTGGTGCCTTGAGTGGCTGCGCGACCCGCCATGTATCTTCATGGCCTTGCCTGAGGACCATGAGCACAGCCCCTTGGATCGGTTTGGGCAAGATCGTTAGTCGATGTATCTTTGGCAGAATGAGGTATATAGATGTGCGGAGGAAGGCTGCTGGATGTCTGTCAACATTGTTCACACTCCTTACTACTAGGTTACACAAAACCTTCAAACAGAAACAGACTTCCCACACACGTTTGTTCTCTCACTCATACCGACCCAACATGTCCACCACCGACTCCACCTCCGATGATGACTGGTCCCTCTACCCCTACTCGCCCAACAAAGCCGCCCCCATCGCCTTCGCCATCATCATGTCCCTCCTCGGCATCATCCTCATCTACCAATGCTTCTTCCGGTACCACTGGAAAAAATTTGGCGGCATGATGCTCTGGGCGACGCTCGTCTGGGTGGCCGGCTTCATCACCCGCAGCATCTCCGTGCACGAAGTCCGCAGCGTGGGCATCTTCATCGCGCAGTTCGTCATGATCCTCATGGGCCCGCCGCTGTACGCCGCGGCGGAGTACTTCATCCTCGGGCGGCTGTTCGCGTACCTGCCGTATCACACGCCGATCCATCCGGGGAGGGTGTTCAGTACGTTCGCGATTCTGAGTGTGGCTGTCGAGACTCTGACGGGGTCTGGGGCGGCGAATAGTGCGGGCGAGGGTCGGGATCCGGCTGTGCGCAGGGTTGGGTTGGATTTGCTCAAGGCGGCGTTGATTCTGCAGTGTTGTGTCGAGGTTGGGTTTCTCTCGCTCGTGGCATTGCTGGAGTATCGCTGTCGGAAGGCGAAGGTGTTTCCCAAGAAGATCCGCATCGTCTGCTACGTCCTCTACGTCACCAGCCTGATGATGCTGCTGCGCTGCGTCGTACGTGCGGTCGAGGGCTTCGAAGCGGCAGCGTGCGATCCGGATCGAGAAGATCCATACTGTGGCCCGGTGTCTCGCAACGAATGGTTCCTCTGGACGTTCGAAGTCGCCAACATCACCCTCTTCGTCATCTTGCTGTGTATCTTCCATCCGGGCAGATACCTCCCCAGGAGCAGCAAGATCTTCCTGGATCCGATTGATGGCAAAACGGAGAGGATGGGGCCTGGCTTCTCCAAGGCCGACAAGAGGCCGTTGCTCATTACCATTCTGGACCCCTTTGACATCTACAGGATCCTCAGTGGAAAGGGAATGGTGCTGAACAAGTTCTGGGAGGAGTATCAGCCTATTTACACTGGCAAAGAAGGGGATGCGCGGCCAGACCATGCTGGTCTTCAGCCCATCTCCTCCAGAGAAGTGCAGCACGAGGGGGCCGTCCGAAAGGCTTGATGGTTGCTGAGGTGGCGTAGAGATGGAAGATGGCTAATCATCCGTCGGAGTTAACTCCAGCAGTGAAAGACGTGCAATATAGACAACATAATAACCAGGCGAGCTCCAGTGTTCAGATCACGAAGATCCAAACATCTGATGCCCTCCTCTTGCGATCCCAAAGATCCATGCTTTTCCAAATCCAGAACGCCGGGTTGCGCCGATGCCCATTCACACCTTCGAGGCGAAGTGAAGCCAGTGAGGTCTGCCATCCAAGCAAGCAGCTTCAAATCAGGCGGTCCTTCCGCAGCCACGAAGAATGCCCATCCGAACTCTCACCAGCAGGCAAGCAGCTTGGGACTGTGCCATTCTCCCGTAGTACGGAAAAACAGCTATCAGAACTCTCGCCAGGACGGCAGACCACAAGTAAAGTGAGGTCAGTCATCCAGATGAGCAGGTTCAGATCAGGCTGTTCCTCTGCAACTACAAAGAACGCCTATCCGAACTCTCGCCAGCGGCAAGCAACTTCGGACTAGGCCGTTCTCCCATAGCTGCAAAGAACACCTATCTGAACTCTCATCTGGATGCAGACCTCAAGCCAAAGCAGTGCCCGCCAACAGATCAGCAGTGCTATGCTGCCAACTATGCTCTTGTGGCGATGTCGCGATCCAGTGGCACGGCCAAGGAGCCGTGTCTTGGGCGAAGCCAGAGCCGAGTTGGTAGCAGAACAGAGCGACCTGATGTCAAGCAAAGCAGTGCCCACATCTTGCCAGCGTACGATTGACATCGCCTCAGCTGGGCTTTCAACACTCGCAACGTGGAGCTTCGCCTCAATCGCCCACCCGGCTGATCAGTCTCAGCCAGTTCTCAAAACTGCTAGCTGTCACCGGCGAAGGCATCGGGTTCAATCTCGCTCACGCGCGCCACCATTGAGACGAGGCGTGGATGGTGACTGCGCACCCATTCTCACGTCCATGCTCCCAACAAAAACATCGGCCCACGCACTTCAGCTTCGAACGTCTGGACTGCTTCTGCCTCAGGCTTCATGCTCCTCGGTCGTTCACATCGACTCTGAGCGCCTCTCGCATTGAGCATCTCACGTTGTAGCTTCTGTGTCGTGGTTTCAATCTTTCAGCCAACCTTGGTACTGCCCAGGCTATCGCTCTGATTGGGAAACACCATTCTCAGTTTGCCGGCGCAGTCACTCCTCCTCCGAAGAGGCATAGAATACGTGATGCGTTCTTGGGCACCCGAAGCTCATCAGGGTTGTCCCCAGATGTGGGCCGTGATGAGAACCTTGAATGGGCCCAACCAGAGCGATGTGTTGTTCAGTACCCTGGTTGATGCTGAACCTCAATAGCAGCAATACTGCGAGCTCTGATACAGAAGACGAGGGTTCTCGTCTTCTAGATCTGAACTCCGTCCTATGGACGTACAATCTCGCGGTGCCGTGAAGTCGTGCTTGGTGCCCGCAGAGCATTCGTCTTTGGGCGATATGACAGCGTCAGACACTGAAGGGCTCATCAGCGCCATGATCGCACCAGTAACGGGAGACTTCACCGCGCAGCGGTAAAACTGAGCCAGCAGCCGGGGGGTGATCAAGTCCCGGGTCAGCTGGGTGCAAGCGCCACGGCGTCGAAAGGGTTTAACTTCCTGATGACCGGCAGGTCTTTGCCAAACTCAATCTGTGAGGCCTGACGGCCATGCACAGAGAACTCGGTGCCAATGACAACCTCTTGAAGCCGACCTTGACAGGTTCAGACTTCGAACACCAGTGCTTGACAGCACACAACAAGGTACGATGTACCGACTTGCCTCAAACAGGCTGTCCACTGTCACCGACTCTTGAACGACTGACCAGGAATTGCAAGGGCGTCCCCCTGTGTCGAAATCAACTCTTCACGGGTCATCGTTCAGGAGCCGGTACGGGGAGAAAGAAACTGACACAGTACGCGTTGCGACAAGATCGCCATCAGTGACAGCACGTTCACGGTAGCTCGAGGCTGCACGTGAGCCTTGACAGGCGGGACATACTCTGACGATGGCGAGTCTTGCACGTCTACGCGTACGTGTAGCGCCGATCGTGGTCTAATACGCGTCAGTAGCACCCAAGCATCAATACGATACCTTGGTGTTCGTCACGAAGTCGTGCGAGTGGATGGAGTTGAGGTGAGAATTGAAGAATGGTGGGTAAATGGGAGGTGCTGAAGAGGAGTGGCGCGTGGAGAGAAGTGGGAGGTTGAAGATAACAGCAAACGCGGTGGGGAGAGCTATTTAATGAGGAGGCGGGCGCTCAGGCCACTCAAAACTCTCGGTCAGCCGACGACGGCCCAAGCGCAAGATTGCATCCCAACAGCACGCTCACGTCGCACCTCAATTTGCCTTGTGACACACCACATGAATCGATGGAAAGGCCACAATCCCATCCTCGGCGTCCGCCCACTGCGGAATGGCATCTCGGATCAGCTTGACATCCTCCTGCGTGATCCCACACGACTCCATCCATGCCGGCTTGCTAGCGACATCAGCAAAGATCTGGTCGAACCCTTTGGCCATGCCTTGGCGATGCTCTGGTCGCGACAGAATCGTTGTAGACATGTCCACCACCGTGATGTCGTCCCTCTTGTGGCCTGCCGCGAGCAGATGGGAGATCAGCTTGCGTCCGAGTCGTGGGTCGGCGCCTTTAGCTGCGCCGAGCTTGGGGAAGACTTCGAAGAGCTTCGTCATGCCTGGCAGGTCTGGGTATGCGAAGAAAAGACCCATGTCGCCTTCCTTCATCGTTATCGTGCCGCCTGGCTTGGTGGCGAGACTGCATTGTTTCACAGCTTTGAGTGCATCTCCCGTGTGCATCAGGGCCTGCACAGAGGGTCAGTTGATGATGGGAAATGGTGAGGATGCACAATGCATCTATCCGAGATAACGTACGGCGTGTGTATACACGAGGTCACAGCCACCCTTGATTGCTTCAAAGCCAGGCTCCGAGGCAGATGCAGCCAGCTCAACCGCATCGCCGACCGAATAGCGAATGTTCTTCGTGCCGGCTTCGCTGGCGGCTTCGTTCGCTTGCTAAAATCATTATATTAGCATATGGCCTGCATGTCGAGAGTGACTATTGCACCTACCTTGATAGACTGCTTATCGATGTCGATACCAAGAACAAGAAGCTGCGGATAACGCTGGGCGATGTCGAGAGTGATTCCACCTGGCCCACACCCAACTTCCAGCACGATTGCGCCGGCCGGCAAAGCATCCAGGATCGGTATCAAATGTGGTACATCAGGGCCAACTCGCCTGCTCTGCATGGCATTCCGCATGATGTCTGATTCGCATGCACAAAAGGCATTGTTGTCTTTGAGTTCTGAGCTCGCGGCCATTTTTGTCGGTTTACTTCAGGTTTATGGTGTGTATTGTTTGGAACTTCTGCGTTGACAAACTTCACTGCTCAGACAATCCTTCCTCTTCATATATCTTTGCGTTTGTGCCTGCCAAGCCCACATTTGCGAGGCTGAACTTGCGGAGACTGAAAACGGAAGTTATAGTGGGCCGCGGTGTGCAAAGCCCTTCCTAAACTCGCATTCCTTTGCTAATAAACGAGGCACGACAATGCGATTTGCTATTTTGTGTCGCGCGCAATGCGAGTACAGCAACGAGTGAGTCACAGGCTTCGACATAGATGAGCGAACGCATTGACGCCGCTAACTGCGTATCTGTCAGCTCTCTGCGGTATTCTTTCAACCGCAAAACCCTAGCGAATTTGTGGGGGCGATCTTCTCAAGAGAATATGGTACGCGCTATGATGGTGCCAGAGTTTGAGGTTTGAGAGCATGGCCGTCATCTTGCAAGTAGACACGCAACTCGTCAACAAGTATATCGGTACTTTACTAACAAGCGAGCGACAATCCCATATTGCTTGCTTTTGCACTTGCGGCCTATAGACACCACGCAAAGGCATTGCGTGGCGGTATCCACCTCACGAACAAGCTATCGCCAAGAGCTCAAGATCTCACCCAATCGTTCAAGCTCGTGCAAGGCATAGCATCAAACGCTTAATACTGCTACAGGGTATTTTAGACGACAACAGGTTGAAGCCAGCGAACCTGATTCGATGGACTGATGACGTTTCTGAACGAAGTAGGTCGCTCGTCAGAGTATATAGCTGACATCGTTACGCAACAGTAGCTTCTACATTGATCGATCCTTCTGCGCTCACGAACTAGGCGAATACGCATTCCGAATTACAAAACACAATGTCTCTCAAAAGATACGGCGTCTGGGTCGTCAAGCCTGAATCCTACGACGCCCAAACGCCACGCCAGGACAGCAAGTCGCCGCACATCACACTCAAGTTCACAGACGATGGCAGCGGCGGCTCCGCAGAAATCAACGTCAAATCCCTCGACAGCGACAAACGACTCGTCTACTGGGTCAACCGCAACTTTACGCACCCCATCACCTCCGACCTGGACAACCTCAACCTAGGCCTCCGCAACATCACCAAAGGCTCCAAATCCGACCTCGCTCTCGACTTTCAACGCACTCAACCCGCTCTCTTCAACGTCGAGCAAGGCGAGATCTTACCATCCTACGCCAAAGGCCCCAACAACGACATCCTCGACAAGCTGGAGCCGATCTTGAACCAGGCCATCAAGGAGAAAGCTACCATGTACCTCTACGGCCAGAGCTACCACGACTCGGATGACGTGGACGGGATTCACGATATTCATATGAATCAGGGCAATGAGAAGGGGTTTGAGAACTCGATCTATAGTGATGGGAGCTTCTTTGTCAAGTTTCAGGATGGCCATTGGGAGGCGGTGTTTTTGGCTTTTGCTTCGCAGGCCCTGCCGACGGATGATAAGGGGGATCCGAGTGAGGGTGCGAAGAGGTTCGATCAGGTTCTTGAGCAGTCTTAAGATCTCTAGAACATGAGCCAACGACGGCGTAGAATTATCCATGCGCTGCACTGAATCGAAATTCTTGGCCCGCTGCGCTCCCTTGACCTCGTTCCCTGAACCTCATCAGCCGGCCTTCGCTATGCGTGATCGTAATGGACGCCATTTTCCCATTGCCTTCTTCCAAACTCCTCCCTCACTCACAATTGTTTTCCCAAGCCACCTTCGTCAAGTATCCAACTCCCAAGGCGTAATCTCACTGCTCAAGTCAGTCCCTGAAATCACCCATCCTCGTCCTTTCCCACATACCTCTGAGCCTCACGACGTGCCGCGCTCGGCGACAACTCTCGATGTTTTGCCTTGGCCGTCAACTCCACCGTGTTGTCATAGCTGGGTTTGTCCCCCTTAGCTGGATTCTGTTTCCGCATCTTTGGTTGTTGATTGACGGGTCGCGCAATGGGCTCCAGGGTGGGATCTGCCTGTGTTTTGTTCGGCGGGCAACAGAGGATCCAGCGCATGTTGTTGGGTTGACGGTAAGAAGTTAGGTCGGCACGGTAGGGGGAATATTGGCGATCTAGTTGTCGCTATTTGAAGTCAGCTGGGTGCGATGCAGCGACTACGAAGCTTGCGATGCGAAAGAGAGACTGGAATTGGCGGCTTGAATGTAGAACGCGCGTGGCGGTGACAGTGAACAACTACGAAGCTACATCAATTCGATTTGTGAATGATGGAATTCACATGGCGTTTGTATCGCGCTTGAAGCGAGGAAGTGCGCTGGCATGTGAAGCGGCTCGAAGCGCTACTTCTGTCTTTGGAGCTTTTTCGAGCTTTGTTCTTCTTTCGTCACACAACATCGCACACACTGCCATATCGACAAGACGACACAAATGCAAGAAAGCGACATGGACAGGCGCAACAACCCAAGCGCTTTTGCAAAGCTGCGAGACATCAGCGAGACGGCACCAGCTACTGCAGACGACATCAGCATGCGCAATCACAGCCTTTCTCAAGATCCCCAAAACATCAACGAGACGGCACCTCCAACAGCCGAAGACATCAACGAGCGCATTCAAGCTCTGCCTCAGGGGCTGCAAGACCACATCCTCGACTTCACGTTGATTCCTCACTCCAAAGTCATCGCCATCGACGAGACGTACAAGCCGCCATGGCAACTGGCAGTCAATCGACGCACCGGAGAAGTCGTAGCTGAAGCATACTACGGTGGCAGCACGTTCATCAGTCAAGTTCTCGAGAACCCCAAGCGTCAAGCCTCCGAGTTGCGGTCAGATGTGCTGCACAAATGGTTATCTTCGCTCTGCCCAAAACACAAACGGAAGATCGTCAGCATACGCTTCGATCTCGAACAAGATGCATATTCTCGCTTGATCTGGGGAGGGAACGTCACTGCTCGGAACGCTCGACTCTTGACGATAGCCGCTGCTTCCAGAGTGCTGGAGAGAATGCAAGTGTGGCACGGCGATCTTGCCGCAGGAGTCATATCTGTGCGCTGCAGATACATCAAGGTCAAGGGTGTTTGGGAGGAGGCTACTTTTACGGACCAAATGGAACCGGTGAAAGCTTTCGACAAGCTTCCACTAATTTGAAGAGTGAAAGAAGCAGGGCTGGTGCTGTACTGCGAGGTCAGAGGAAGAATGAGTTGTCGATGCTGGGCGGAGAGCCAGCTACCTAGCACATGTCCACACATCAGCTAGTCTCAAATTACATGTGATACTGCAGTCACATCACTGGTCGCATTTGTTGTTCAGTGAGACCGACGTTTCTCCCCGACGACGCATGTGAAAGTCTCATTAGCGTCTTGCGTTGTTTCAAAAGCATGTCTGCCCCTCGCTCTTTCCTCCACTTTCTGCAACAGCAAACACGAGCATCAGACACAACATCAAGCGTCTTCCACCACCACACAACAAGCTTTCACTATCACCCTCCATGACATCCGGCATGGCTGACTCGGATGCAGACGAGCTGAAGGAGCGCATCCAGAACTTGCCGCAGGTGAGCACATACTCGACCACCGACCTTCTACGAGCGAGTGACTGGAGTTTAACAAAGGATATTAGGAGCTCCAAGACCACATATTCGAATACACCATTGCCATCGAGCCTGGTGTCATCACCATCGACAAGAACTACAAGCCGTCGTGACAGCTCCAGATTAATCGAGATATTCGGAAGAAAACTGCAACGCAGTATTACACGACGACTGTGTTTAACCTTAATACTGTTAAGAATGACTTAGATAGCAGCTGCACAAATTAGACTGTTTAATATCTCTCCTGCCTTAGTAGAGATTATTAGAGCTTAGTTACTTACTTAGTTAATATTAATCCTTATTATAGCTATTAATTAAGTATTTATAAGTTTATTAAATATATAGAAATTTAACTAATTAGTTAATTAAATATCTAATATAATAGTAAGATTAATCTAAGCTATATTAGTAACTTAGTAACTTTACTACTTTTAATTTTACAAGTTTCTCTAACTCTATTAACTCTATAGTCTAAAGTATAGATATCTCTATATTACTATATTTTAACTTATATATTTACTATATATTAAATATTTATATTATATTCTATAGTAAATACTACTTTTTCTCTTTTTAATTTACTATATATATTTTACTAGCTTTAGAGTCTTTATAACTTTAAGTCTAACTTTTTAGCTTTATACTACTACTACTATTTATACTACTATAACTACTACTTTATATTATATTAATATATTTCTAAATATTTTTAAATATATTATAAAAGAAAGTAGAAAAATAATCTATTTAAGAAGTAGTTATTAAGTTATTTAAATATATCTAGTTATTAAGCTAAGACTACTCTTTAGAGTTTATATAGGTATTAAATATAATAGAAGTAACTAAATTAATAAATAATACTAGGAACTAATCTAGTAGTAATTATATTAGTTAGTTATAAGAAGTAGAAGAACTAAAGTAAAATAAGCTCCTCTTAGTTATATAACTTTTAGTATAGATACTTTAGGTATCTATCTTAGCCTACTTATCGAGACTATACTATTTAATACTCCTACTTAGGCTAGTATATATATCTCTAAAGTAGAGCCTAAGTAATAGTATATAATTTAAAAGAATTTCTTTCTATCTAATTAGGTATTAGGGCTTATTCTACTTCTATAGTATAGTAGTAATAACTATAGTTTAACTCCTAGGCCTAGTATATTAGGACTCGATTATATTACTTATAACGACTATAAGAGTCCTAGTATCCTTTTTACCTAGCCTATTTAGAGCTACTTTATAAACTCCTAAAATTAGGGCCTATTCTTTAGCTTTATAAGACTATTAGTAACTATCTCTATAATCCTTCTTTACTACTAGAGTCTTCTTATAAAGTTATAGGCTATATTAATATATTTTGATTTATTATAGATATAGGTATCTTTAATAAGTATTAAAGCTATCTAATTATCTCTATATAAGATTACTAGCCTTAGGCTCTTAACTATACTTCTATCTACTTTAATAAGTAGTTAAAATAAGTATTCTCCTACTAACTCTATATAGTCTATTTCTCTTAGAAGT